GAACGAAAAAGTGAAGAGCTACACATCAGACTCTACAGGCCTCGGCTAGCATGTTAAAGGTTAAAGTTCATCACAGTACAATAAAAAAGACGGAACAAGCATGGCATGTTTGGAAGGGTTGCCAGGAAAAAACATGAGCTCAGGTTTGCAACAAATGACAGAACTTTTTGATCAATGTGCTTCAGACAGCAGAGAGCAAGGTGGAGATGTTTGGATATAATGTACAGCATCACATTCGGAGAAAACCACACAAACATATAAGAACAAACACCTCAAACCAACCTTCAAGAATGGTGGTGGAGGGCTTTCAGGCTTGTTTACAACCACAAGACCTGGGGACCTTATTTAGTGAACTCCTCTTTATACCAAAGCATTCTTGAGTCAAATGTGAGGCCATCTGTGTGACAGCTAAGGTTTGGGCAAAACTGGGTCACACAGCAGCAAAATGATCCCAAGCACAGCAGAAAACAGCAGAATGGCTGAAAAAGAAAATAATCAAAGTGTTGCAATGGCACAAATCCTTCATTTCAACCTGATGGAGCTGCTGTGGTGATTTTGTCCTGACATGTAAAACTATAGAACTGACAGTGGGATACTCTCCTTTTATCAGTGCTGTATGTGTAATAGTGGATCAATACATTGTTAACATCTGCCTATCAGAACCAAAAGTGGACACTTTATCATGTATCAGCTGAGTTTTTACAAAATCAGCTAAGTAGAAGAGTAGCAGAAGAAATTAATTGACTTCACATTCGTAGTTCACTGGTAATTGCTAAGCCATCCCTTTGGCACCCTGCTCACTGCGATACATTGTAATTTACTCTGAGAGTCGCTGTGTGCGAGAGGAGAGCAGATAGGCTAAGTATAGAGAAGAAAGTGTCAAGAAGAGACGCAGATTGAGCTTATCTGTGAGCTCAGGCCTTCCTTTGTCAGGTGCAGCTCCTTTCTGATGGAGACTCTTTGAACTTGACAGAATAATTAAAATGAAGGCGAAAAAGCTGACATTTGCAATTTGACCTTTTTGACTTACGTGGCAAAACTGGCACCATTTCCTCCAGATCACATTATCATTCTGCCCTTGCATTTGAGGTATGTGTGTGTGTTTAAGTATGGGTTTAAGTGTGCATATGCGTAGGTGTACTTAGTGGCTCTGTGTGCATACAGGCAGCGTGTATTCATGAGGGTGCGAGGAAAGAATAAAAGAATAGTTTTATGGCATATTACCGGTCCATCTCTTCATTAAGGAGCTGTTTTCCAGTAAGCGGGCTCTATTTGAGTAGCTAAATTGTCCAAGCAGTGTGCAAACGAGGACTAATAGCCCGATGCCCTTGTCACTGCCAAAGTCAAACTGAAGATCTGAGAAATGAGTGCGTCTCTGTGTGCTTGACATCACAGTCAGCAGCAATACTTCTGTAAATGTAAGGATTCTTACCCTGTTTTTAGTCTCTCCCATACAGTGTGACTGTAAAAGTAATATTTATAACTACAGTTATAATATTTATAACTTCTAGTCATCCTTGGAATAAGTGAAACTCGGTTGTAAGTTGCAGGTGACCACAGATAGCTGTAACTACTAGGACACAGCCCACATGAACAGAACATAGTTTAAATTCCCTGCGCCACGTTACATCCACTACATATAATGCAGCTGTGAACCTCTGCAGTGATTTCTGGCACTGTGGATGTCTGCAGTGGATCCTCTGGGTACTGTGACCCCGTGTATGCTCACTTAAACTGGGGTTAGTCCGAAGCATCGTTGATCCGTCTGTCATCTGTCTGCTGCTCCTGAGCAGTTTTGTGTGAGGTGTTGGGGGCATTAGCTTGGTTTGGTTTGGTGGACTACACAGGATGTGCTGGGTCTTTATCACGATCATCCCAGTGTCAGCAAATTGTGTGTTTTTGGCTTTGAGTTCTATTTTTCCGTTGTGCTCTCCTTGTGACTGGTGTGGACTGCCTTATCCTAATAACCAAGTTGTATGTCCTTTGTATGGTGTTTCAAGCTTTTTGTTATTGTGTTGTGTCTTCATCTCTGTGTGAGGTGTTGCTGTTCTGTTACTTCCTGTTTTATTTTGTTAACCGCAGTCCTGTCCCATAGTTGTCGGCACCTGTGTTGTTCCCCCCACATTACTTTGTGTACCCCACTGTGTATAAGTAGCTTGAGTTTCCCCCTGCTGCCTTTGACCCTAATGACCCTCTATATTTTAGATCACCAGTCTATGACATTTCATAGATTCATCTTGTGTTTTAACTGTCTAAAGGTTCATTTTGTTGTTCTGCCGGTTTAAAGCAGATTTATTTAACATTTTTCATACTAATATGTTTTTTTTTCTTGAAGGGATGCCAAATGCTATCATTTTTCTGTAAGGCAAATTTACCTGCCTATGGGTATAAATAAAGTTACCTTACCTTGCATTAAATGTGCAAATGCTCATCTTTGTTTTATTATCAAATACAGTTACAATGACAAAGAAGATCAACACAGTACGTATGAGTGTTGATCCAGTTATCTTTACAAGCAGAATAATTCCTGTTTAAGGAGAGGCGAAGTAATAGTTCCTTAGCTTACTCTTAAATATTCAAATAAAGGAGATCTTTTGTTTTTTTTCATGTTTTTTCCCCCACTGTCCTTCAGCATAAGCATGTCTCGAATGAAATGCTATGCTATAATTTGCCTTCCCACACAGTGTCACCCTGAGTCATTTTTGCAAGGTTAGGACTGAAAACAGCAGATTGGAGAGTATTTGTAGTAAAATGAGACCTTCAGACTTGCTGCTGATGTGGAAACAACCTTGTGTTTAAGAAGTAACCTCGAGAAAGTTTGGGCATGGGAGCAAATCTGTGTTTTTATGAACTATGTGCAGTGGCAGCTGCGTGTTTACACTCGCTTACACCCACATTTACGTATTTTTCCAATATTTTACACATGGCTGTTTATTGAGGGTGTGTGTGTGTGTGTGTGTTTGTGTTTCCATACAGCCATTAAACTGCTTCGATTTAGAAGCTTGTTTAAGAAGTTTAAGAGCTATCTCTAAATCGAAAACATCAAACATCTCTGAATAATTCTTCATTTTCGTCAAGTAACGTTGGAGATATTTTCCTACAGAAATACAACAGTTTCTTGGGGATGCTGGAGAGGATTTGTTTCTGTTTTTATTCCTCACAGTGCGCTGAAACAGTACTGCACTTTTCCAAAGACTGAAATGTCAAGCCAAGGATACAGGAAAGCCTTGGTAGGAAGCACATTTGTTATGAACCCAGGAGTGTAAGCTGTTGAAACTATTTCTTAAGAAAGAAGGGAAAATATCTGGAAAATCTCAGGAGTTCATGATGAATCATCTTGGGTCCATCTGAAGACAGAAAAACTGAAAAACATAAAGGAAAAGTAGACACACAATTGCCTCAGACATCTGCGCTGAATGTGGAAACACAGGAGAAAGTGCAACAGAGGTGTGAATAATTTAATCATTTCTCAGTGATCAGTTCCTTCAGTAGATGTTAATATTGAGGAATGGAACATTCTGACCCATTTAAAGTGTTTTCCTGTTTCTGTGCTTTTCTCTGAATTCAAAGAAACGCAGAGTGAAAGTGTATATTTTTTAGGATGGATCTTAATGGACATAAAAGAGTTTTGAGAGCTGACGTTAATGCAGGCTTGGGAAGCATTAACATGCTGTTGCCTTTCTGCTTTAAAAGGTAAAGGCACCATAGTGGAGCCATAACAATTAAAAGCAGCTCATTAATCCAAACTATGACAGTGGAAAACTGCATGGTGGCTATTTGTGGCAGTGCAGCATGGTCTCATTCTGTCTAGGTCTGAGTTATCTGATTTTTTTTTAACTTTGCAATTGTCTTCTCTGCTTTCAGAAGACCATTTAACAACTGAAGCAGAGACACAGCCTGAGATAAAATGCAAGGATTACCCAGGAACTAGACTGTAGATCAAACTGCCTTTGCAACGATATGAAGTCTGCTGAGCTTCAAGCACAGACTTATTTGTTTAACAAAAATATATCAACTCTCTCAACAATTAAAAAGGGGTATTTAATGTAGATCATTTGATATGTTCAACATTATTATTAAAGTACTAAAAAACTACCTTTTTATTATTAGCATATATAACTGATCAGATTAAAATATCCCATCAATTAATATTTGAGTAAATTCAATTTCTCTGGAAAAATTCTCAACAGCATGAGACCCTGGTCAGCTATAGTACACTGCCACCTAGTGGCCAAAAATGACATGAAATCCTAGACACACTCACTGGCCATTTAATCAGTTACACTTTGTTAGTACTGGTTTGGAAACTCTTTTTCCCTTCAGAGCTGTTTTAATTCATCGTGGCATAGATTCAACAAGGTGCTGGAAACATTCCCCCAAGATTTTGTTGCATGTTGAGATAACAGCATCACACAGCTGCTGCAGATTTGCATCCATGGTGAAAATTACCTGTTCCCCCACATCCCAATGGTGCTGTATTGGATTGAGATCAAGAATCTAAATTGATGATCTCAGCTTTGTAACATGGTGCAGTAGCCTGCTGGAAGCAGCGATCAGAGGGTGGGTACATAAATGGATGGACATGGTCAACAGCAATACTCAGGCAGGCTGTGGTGTTTAAACAATGCTCAGCTGGTACTAAGGGGTCAAGAACATTTCCCCACATCATTACACCACCACCAGTACCATGAACCTTTGATACAAGGCAGAATGCTTTATTTTGTTTACATCCAATTTTTTGATATCTGTGATTTTAGCACACGTAAATAATACTAAATAATCAACACTATGTTTTCTAGTGATTCTCACGGAGTTCTTTTGCTCTGATGTAATATTCACTTTCAAATTAAAAGTCACAACAACACAGATCAACACTGCCTAATCAACTTCTTATGGAACAATACCATCATAAACAGTTCTAAATAAGCATTATCACTGTGTTTTTAATGAGTAGTTTAATTACATATTAAGTGTTGCATGAAAGTGAGAAAGACTGAAGATGACTTTCTTTTCCTTTATTTTGGTTTTATTGAGCACCAAAAGCATTTAAATTATTCAGTTCTGACCACTGAGCAGTCATGTGTGGAAGATGCTGAGACGTCCGGCACCACGTTAGAGTTCGCTGTGCAGCGGGACTTTGGCTTTCTTCATGTTGTCGGCCACTGTGGACAAAGAGGGGACAAATAAGAGGAAGGCAGTGCTCTTACATGAGTGAAGTAGTTCAGAAATGAAACCTAAACCTAAGCTGCAGGTTTAGGTTTCCTACTAAACCTAAACCTGCAACTACTTTTCCTTTACTACACATTTAATGGCTTCAACTTCTTATCCATCCATTCGCTTCTGCTTATCCTTTTCAGGGTGCTTCAATTTCTTATTTTAAATATATTTTTTCTTATGGGGTTTGTTTCAGAGATGGCAGATTCACTTTGTGCTTTTTAAATATATCTTGTTTTAAGGTTTTTACAGTTATAGGCAGGGCATCACGGTGGCGTGGTTAGCACTGTTGCCTCACAGCAACAAGGTCATGAGTTCAACTCCTTTACCTCGCCGGGGCCTTTCTGTGTGCAGTTTACATGTTCACACTAGGTACAGTCCAAACGGTTAACTGGTGATTCTAAATTGCCCAGAGGTGTGAGTGTGAAAGGTTGTCTGTGTCTCTGCATTAGCCCTGCAACCTGTCCAGGATGTACCCAGCTGGGATACACTATAGCCAACTCTTATTGTGTTTAGATTTTAAATATATTAAAGACAAATGTCCAGGGGACCAATAATCACAAGGTTTGGACCTAGAATAGCTCCATGAATGATTTACAGTAACATAACAGTAATCAGCAAAGACATAATGAATGCTGGTGCTTTAAGTGTGTTAATTGTGCTTTTAGTTTCCAGTGACAAAGCCATGATTTAATGATAATATATCGGGAAAAAACAGTGTCACATTCCTCACTTGCCTTCTCTTTTCCTCGTAAAAAATTGACTCTCTGTCCTTGCACTGCATTTGCAAACCTCCCACCTCTTTGGCTACTAGTGCTACAAGTCTGCTAAAGTTTCTCACTAACATCCACATGGAGCTCAAAATTCTTTCTGTCAGAACAATCTCATAAAAAAAAACTTCGTCATTTCTGTCAAAATATTGAGGAAGGGATAGGGTTCAAGCTGTGGGGGATTAGTGTGTCTGCAGTCTGCTGACAGGTGAGCTGTGCAAACTGTCATTAGAGAGAGTGAACAGTCACTCACGGCCTTGGATGTCACTCGCTGTGTAGGTGTAGAGGTGGTTGCTGTACTTTCCAGTAATGTCTGTGCGCACAGTCAAGGTTGGATCTGTAGAAAAACCACACACATGAACAGCTCAGGAAAGTAATCAGTATTATGTGACAGCTGATGTGCATTTTATAAACTGAATATGTTTCTGTAAAATTCTTTATCTAGAAAAATGAGTGAGGAAGCAAAAAGAACCTTGGGACTATCCACACCATTAGATCTGGCAGGGTTATGCATGCTTTTGTTATATCTAGACTGGACATCTGTAGACTGCAGTTAGTCAGTCATCTCTTGCTCATTTACAATTACTTTGAAATGCTGCAGCCAGATTACTGAAGGGACAAGAAGCAGAAGTACTCCAGTGTTAGTGTTAGTGGCCTTTCACTGGCTCACTGTTCATTAGAGACTCCACCATGAAGGGGCGCGGTTTGTATTTGAATGGTTTTATTCTGTGCTATGCTTGTATCTCTGTTCAACCTCAGACAAGGACAGTAAACAATCTGTTCTTCTATATTGAAATTATATTAATAATGTAAGAATTTACCAACAAAGAGGATTCTGGGAACATAGTAACCGTCAGGTGCCAGATTCTTGTCCGAAGTCTCTTCCTGTGTATAACAATATAGTATTTATTGCACATGATTTTAATAATAAAATATTTATAGATATATATATTTTTCTGCATATGTAACATATCTTTAATTACCACCACGTTGAGCATGATGAAATCCTCTTTTGCCATTTTCTGGATAGTCTTATCCGCAACAAATGCCTTCTTCAGGTCTGTCGAAATACTTTGGTTTAGTATTATATTTAGACTGGCTTTCAAATAATTATGAATGAATTATGAATGGAAATATTAATAAATGTATTCTGCCTATTAAATGTCAGAAGGAGGTAAAGCCTGTTAAGTTATTACAGACTGCATTTATAAAATTGCCTAACAAGTCAGAAACAAGTCTGGCAGGTTGGACCTTTAGAATATCACGTAGGGGAATACACAACACACTATAAATATATGAATCCTGTCTTGTTAAAATGAGGACACATTACTAATAAAAAATATATGCAACTTGCTGCAATCAAACAAAATGCTTCAGTGTTCTGAGACTTTCAGCGGGAGGATGCAGAACGGGCTGCTTTTGGTCTACCGTAGCAAAACTCAAAATTTAGAGCCAGACTTCACTCTGTAGGTGGTCTTCATTGTTTATGGGTTAAGAAATGCCAGTGGAGACTTCCACTGAGCTTATTTCACAAAACCAGCTGAGTGATTTATGAACATAACTCTCACATACTTCACTGCCTGCTTTGTGGGTATTACAGAATGCACCCATTGTGTTTCCCGGGAAAACAAACAAGCCCAAGTCTGAGTGAGAAAGACAGCGCAGGAGGTGCAAGCCTATATTTTTTAATATATACGCATACTTAATAAACCAAAGTAGCAGCAGTACCTTTACTGTGTGGGCAGTTGTCTTTATGATGAATGACCATGAGAGGTTTCTGACTGTGAGAGCAAAACCACAGAGTAAGAACTCAGTACATTCCACAACACAATAAACACAGTGAAGGGTGTGAAGGCAGTCTTACACAACCAAATGCCTTAGAAAGCAAAGTCCCCATGCTGGATTTACAGACAAATGAAGATTAAAGTAATAATGTGTTTCCCTTATGGAAAAGTAATGGAGCGTCATTCCAACGCAGAAAGACACAACAAAGGAACAGACTTATCCGAACAAAATAAACTGACATCCAGGACCTTTACCCAAGGTTTAGAGTCCTACCTCTTGGCCATTTTTGCTAGGCCGTCTTCATAATTTTGGGCCCAGTTAATACCACCTCCCCATCCTGCAGGCAGGAAATAAAAATACAGTGATAGGTCAACAACACTGCTGCATGTTCCCAGTACATTAACTATGTCCCCAAACAAGCAAAGTTCCGATTTTATTGTGTCTGACAGCTATACACGATCTTATGAAAAGGTTTATAGGACATTAACTGGAGCTGTGAATATTGACAAAAGTAGATTTGCCCACCTCTTGACAAGGACTGACTCTTCACTTTCTTTTTAGCTTTCTGGTCCCCGGCACTGGCACAGAGGCCAATGAGCAAAGCAAGCAAGACCCAGCGAAGCATTGTTCCTTGTCCTTTCAGAGAGCTGCTGTGAAAGTTGGCAAATGAGTTCCAAGGAAATTCAGTGACATTTATATTTAAATACAAAACACAAATCAGTTTTAGCCTGACTCACATTTGACAGATATCTAGAGCTGCACTGACTCACCAAACACACCTAACTACAAGGCGGTATGCAAGCAAGCAAGAATTCATTAATGGTTCACCTGAGACCATGTAAATAAAATAGTTTATAAGCTGTAATTCTACACATAGTTACCACACTTGTATTTGTAATGGGGAAAATATCAATTCTGAAATAATGTGAAAAAGTGTAATTTGAGATAATTATAATTAAGATTCCTTCATTTACAAATCATTTTCAAACCTTTAGTGAGGCATCTCACTAAAGGCTAGCTTTGAAAGGAATCATAATACTTTTTTAAAAAGTAAATGAAGGTATTCAGGTAGCAGGTAAATCTCTTACCTCGTCAATATGAAGCAACAAGCATCTGCTCTGACGCTCCTATGTGCGCTCTCTATTTTCAGATTTTCTTTTCTATCGAACTTGTCAAACAGGTATATCATATTAGGCTTAAAAAAACAAAACAAGCACGCACTGCCTTATTAAAAGCAATTGTACTGTGTAATGGGATTACACCAGCAGATAGGGAAGCTAGCATTAATTTGGTTATTATCCCTTCTGTAAGTTTAAAAACATATATATACTTTATGGGCTTTTACATGATACTTCAGTCTATGGATTAAGAATAAATAAATAACTCAAAATAACTTTTTATTTGAATTTGAATTTCGTTCTCTTAAAAAGTGTCACCCTGAAAGTACAGTTGTTCCTAAAACTGCTTCTATGAATCTTCCACGTGTTGGTATAAAGGAAACTCCCACTCCATGCCCGAATAAAGACAGGGATGTATGGCCCATTTTAATTTTAATCAATTTTTGGCCATAGTCTCCACAACTTATGGGGCAGAGTGAATTAATTTCTGTTGTTGCAAATACTGATACCGGAACTCGGTAAATGCTTCTTTACGCCTCGTGTACTCCGAGTACTGTATCTTTGTAGTCTGGCTTCCAAAACTTAAAGTTGATGAATGGCCTATTTTATTTTGTATGTATATTGAATGCTTTTATCTAGTTGCTTCTCTTTTCAACCACGCTGTTCTGTTTTGGCGGAAATAATAAAGAATTTTCTATCTATCTACTTTGTCTAGCCATTTATCTAGCCGATTGTTAGTTGTTGCTATGGACACAAAAACCGCTTGGCAACTGTAAGCCCTTGGCGCAGGCGCAGTCCTCTTAAATGATGCACTGTGGGATTGCAGGACATTGACATAGCAACCAGGCGACAGAGTCACTAAGTTTTTCACTCCTAGTTAGTTTCGTGTATTTTTTCTTGGTTAAAAGTACTTAGCTTGGCTTTTTATTTACTACCATGAATGCGGCAGTGGTGAAAAAGACCCAGGACACGTTGGGCAAAGTGATAAAGAAGCCGCCGCTCACCGAGAAACTGCTAAGCAAGCCTCCTTTTCGATACCTGCACGATATCTTCAGTGAGGTGAGACTCAGCTGCTGACATTACACTCGAGAAAGCAAGCTGGATTTTATTTAAGGGGCGCGACACTCTTCTCAGAAGCCTAGCAAAGCCCAATGCCACTTCTAAGTTAAAAACACAGACACGGGAGCTAGTTAGCCGGCTAATGCATAAAAGTTAGCATGAAGCTAACCAAGTAAGTTCGCGAATATTACGGAACATTTTGTAAGCTCCGATTTCTGCGGCTCCAGATTGTCAGTAACACTAATCCCGATAGTCAAGGGGTGCATTAGCAATTCATTTAAATGACAGGTTGCGCTTTAGTTAATATGGTGGGTTAGCAAGTGAGCTAGCTGTTTCAGCAGCGTCGTCTTGTTGCTAGGCACGACCTGAGCGCACACACGAATCAACAAACCGTTTTCCCCCGCTGCTGGCTTAAAGGAGGGCACCTGCCAGTTAGGATGAACCTGTGCTAGGTTCCTTGAATCCGTCACGTTGAGAACACAGATGCTGATCAGCTTATGGTTCAGCTAAAAACAAGCACAGGCTGTGCTATAATTGGTGTTTCTTTGATTTCCCTTCATTTATTTAAAGCTGCTTGCAAGGCATGCATATATGATTAAGTTATAGCCGATGGCTTTCTGGGGTTTGCCAGGAAGATCTGTCTTCTGTGGCCTAGAGTAAAACACTCTCAGATGAAGAGAAGTGCAGATACAGATCAGGGTCAGTTACATACTCTCACAGGTATTTTATGTGCATTAGACAAGCAATTGTACCACGTGAGAGTTTTCTGGTTCAGAATGGGTGTAGGTTGTGATTACACCTGGCACTTCTGAAAGTAGAAAGCATTTTATTGTCCTGACTCCCTATGTGCTCTTTTCTGTTCTCTTTCCTCTGCCCCTCCCTGAGCGTGCTTCCGTTGGAGGATTTCTGTTAAAAGGGAGTTACTCCACTCTACTATCACAATGTGCTTGCTCATAGGTTGTCACTTGTTTGTTGGAGTTCTTTAACACTGTAGGTGATAACCCTACCATGAGGCAACTTTTGTGGGAATTTGGATTATACAAATAAACTTGAATGGAATTGAATACTGTTTCTCTTAGCCATTTTTAAATGTGATGTTTAAGTACGTGCATGAGAGAAATAACAGCCAGTATAATAGGATGAAAGGAAACAATATAAGTACAATAAAGGTGATTTTCCACCTCAGAACAGTTTTTTCCCTCCCTTAGTTAGATAAATATCATCATTGGCATTGTGAAATCTAAGATTACTGGAATTTTCAAAGATTAATGAGTCTAATGTGTAAACAAAAGAGGCAAAAGAGAACCTTTCTCAGTTTTTAATTTTTTGGGTGGTTAAATGGCATCCATTTAATTAGGAGTCAGAAATGACAGGACAATATATGAATGTATTCTAATGTTGTCTGTGGCCACCCTTCCAAAGATCCATTTTGAGTAAGTACAACTGCTGCAATAGTATCATGGTTCTTTAAACACACACATACACACACAGGAAACACTGCATCATCTCCACGGCCTGTTGTCAGAGCCCTGTTGTTAGTACACTGCTGATCTTTATGATCAAACTTGCTTTGCTCACTTGCGGCTTCTTTCATTTTCTTTTTCAGCATTTTATATGCACAGTTGACTCCTTTTACATAAGGTGTCAAGCAGAGTAAAATCTCTTACGCTCTTCTCAACAGAGGTGCCAACTCATTCTCACCTGTTCAGCAGTCTTATATTTCACTCCAGGTTCATGCATATTTGATAAAGGGAAGAGTGTCGGCATGTTGGACTCCCCTCCTCTGACTAGGAATATGTCTGAATATGACTGTAGGGCATAAACTGCTAAAGCTATAAAGGTTTTTTTGTGGTTGTTGTGTTACTTTAATGTTTAGGTTAATGCTCAGCAAAAATTGTTGTTGTTTTTTTTAGCCCACAGGTGAAAAGCACTGTTCCTGCACATACATACAAACAGACTTCGGAGTGAACTTCTCGATGTACAGAAGCTAAAAATGGCATATCGTTGTAGTTTCATGTCTGTTTAAAATGACCCTTTTTCAACCATTTTCAGGTCATCAGGACTACTGGTTTTATGAAAGGCCTGTATGAAGAAAATGAAATGAAGTCAGACAGTGTAAAGGTACGTCTGTTTGACGGCTATGCTTAATAATATCACTAATTACAGTCTTTCCTTTGATTTGATTTTAATTGACTTTTTAATGCAATGGTGTTATGACCTAAGAAGCAGCCTTGCTCAATTATTAAGTCACACAGTCCTGTGTAATGACTGTGTGTGTGTGTGGGGGGGGGGGGGGGGGGGTGTCAAACGCCTTACAAGAAAACAAAAATGTAAAGTTTTGGTAAAAGCTCATTCAGACATTGCTCTCAGTTGTGAAATGCTTAATCATAAGGCATAGGCTGATATTGTTACTGTCATCTTTTAAAGACTTGCCTTTTTCTCTACTTTTTAATGTCAGCTATGTATTTTATTAATTGCTTTGAATAGAGATTTCATAAAGGCATTAACACTGAAAAGCTCACCCTATTAGATGCGACACAGAAGGGCCAGGTGATTGCACCAGACACACGTCCTTATGTTATGCAGTTGGCAGCCTTCTCAAATGCAGCAGGCTGATGGACCAGAGGGGCTGTTTAGCTGGGTTATTAGTCTAGAGTAAGGTCTGTTTTATTAACATCCAAGAATTAAATCAAAGGAGTGTTTTTGTCTGTTCCTCCATTATGAAAGATGGTCCTTGTTAAAAATCCAGGTGTTCCATTTCACCTTTTGTCTGCCTTATTAAAAACAAGACTGATTGGCCCTTTGAGGTTCAGGATTTGAAAGCTAACAATTATACTCTACAAATGGCACAGTCACATTTACAATGTGTGGCAGACTTAAGATTCACACCCTGCAAAGTAAAATATACTTACTGTAATGTAAGTAGCATTATGAAGAAAATAGTGGTGTCAGAGTTAAAGGGTGGACACAAATGGTGATTATGGGCCAATTATAGTTTATTTGCATGCTATTTTATACCGGACTCAACCAAGATGCTCATCTAAGGCAGAAGTAACTTCAGCTAATCTCTGCAAAGATCCACATTTCTCAGATTGTTTAATCATCCTAAACTGTGTCCGAAAATGAATCTCGTTGGAGTTACCTCCTGTGCACTGTCACCCTTTTTCTTTCTAGGATAAGGACTCAAAAATAGCCTTCCTTCAGAAAGCGATTGACGTTGTGATGCTGGTCAGTGGCGAGCCCCTGGCAGCAAAGCCAGCCCGCATTGTAGCCGGCCACGAACCAGAGAAAACCAACGAGCTGCTGCAGGCCATCGCCAAGTGCTGCCTCAACAAGGTCTGTCTTATTAGATTACACACTCACGCTGAAAAGCTAAGTTAAGAACGCACTCTTATTTCACTAATTTATCCATTTTTCATGTTGTCTCTGTTATATCCGAGACACAAATGAAACTAGCTCTCCATTAAAAGGAAAATGAAGTATGTGTTATTTTTCACATCCAGATATTGCTCGATTGGGAAAACTGTCTGGCTGCCTCAGGGAGACATTGAAAGTATTTAATTGAACCCTGGAGATTGAGTGTAAACAGATGAGCAGATGCCTGGGGTTGTTGCTCCATAAATGTATGTATGTGGTTACAATTGCTGTAGTAATGGTATTTAATAGCAGCAAACAAATTAAGAACAACAACAAAAAGTAAAGCGAATTCCCACAAGCCTGACATTTTAATGAATAGTGAAGAACTGTTAAATGGGCTGTTTTTCCTGAATTGTGTTTATTTTTATTTTTTCCCCTTCAATCGAATCTTAGAGTTTTCAGATTTAAGGTTCAATCCAATCATAAAGTTTCTCCTTTTCAGGGACACTTTGGAACGTAGATGCTGTTTAAAGCTGTTCAGGGAGTTTTACTTTATCACATTGTCTGATCCTCCTGTACATTTAACTGCAGATGTCCAGTGATGACGCAGTGAAGCGAGTGCTTAAAGGAGAAAAAGTGGACATTAAAACCAAAGCCAGTACCTCTAGGTCCCAGGACAAGGAGAATAGGGAGGGACGGGAACATCATGTGGATAGAGAGGTGAGTCTTCTTAAATGGCATCCATTAAATAATCTAACACTTTCAGACATATTAATGTTTCTTCAGATGTCCTCAGAATCTATATTTTAACGTTCACACCAAAATACTGCAAAGAATTTTTTTTGTAGCACACCTCAGAGATATATATATATATATTTATATTTACATTTTTCAATAGGATTTAAAAAAATGATTAGGCCTACTGTGAACTGCATGATGTATAACTGTTAATATATTATTTCAGGAGAAGAAGAAGATCACAGAGCGCAGCAGCAGCCGGGACCAGAAAGACCCAGACCAGCCCAAAGAACAGGAGAGCCGACGCAGAGATGGAGAGAAAGAGCACCGTCGTGACAGAGAGCGCTCGGAAAAACACCATCGCAGCGAACAGGACCGCCATGCGAAAGACCGTGACAAGGACAAGAGTCGAGACCGGGAACGAGACAAAGACAAAGGACGAGTCAGGGACAGAGACAGAGAGAGAGATCGAGACAGGGAAAAGGACAAAGAGAGAGACAGAGAAAAGACAAGAGAGCAAGATTCTCAGAGAGAGAGAGACAAGGAAAAACGAAGAGATCGAGACAGAGAAAAAGAAAGAGACCGACACAAAGATGGGGATGAGAGGAAGAGAAGTGGAGAGAGTGGAAACAGCAAGGTATGTTTGCAGCAAGGACAGCACACATTTCCCTTTTCCAGTCGCCGTTTCAGCTTAGAACATGTTAAATATACAGTGTGTGACTGAACAAATACATGAAAAACAACAGAATGTAGTTCTTACAGTTGTTTGTGTGTGCGTTCAGGTCCGAATATCAGAGGAACAGCAAAAACCATCCCCTGAAGAGCCCATTAAAACAGCCAAACCTGCACCAGCGGTAAGATCTGTATTTTCAGATATCTGACAAATCAAATCATTTCTGAGTTTCACAGACATTAATGACAGAGAGGTGCAGTGGTTTCATTTGCTTACGCTTGAATTATTAATCCTGACACATCACACGGGCTCATGAACTATTCTAATTTCTTTTCTGATTTTTTTTTTTTGCCTCTTATTCTTGCAAGGACCCAAATCCAGCTGAAGAGGTATTACTGCAGACGATTTAGTTTTTGAATGTAGTGGGTGGCTAGCTGCGTGGTTAAAGACTACTTCAGGCTGTAGTGTGGCAGATTGTGTTCCCTCACTCAGTGTGTAACTGATACATGTGATGATTGTGTGACTTGTATTTTTGTCTTCACAGCTCACAGAAGCAGCTGAGAACCAGGTAAAAACTCATTGAAAAAAGGTCTCAGTGGGATTTCTTCATTTCAGAGCCACTACCAGTACAGTTACAAACCTTTTGATATTACTGTGTTTAAATACCTCCTGGGCTGTGTTAGAGGAAGTGAGTTCCCTGTGTTTCTGTTGTTTAGCTGGAGAATAAATGTTTGAATGTCTGAGTTTCGTATTTCTCCTCTAACACATCACAAGATGATGTCTTGGTGTGGCAGTGTGTTTGTACTGTCGCGTGTTGTTCAGTTCAGTGTAAAGCAGGGTTCACAGCTGGTTGACAAACATGATAAATTCTCAGTTGTCTGCATTTCTAGCTTTGCTTTGTTCTTACTAATCTTTCCTACATCTCCCTCGATATTGTTGCGGTCTGTTTAGGTGAGATATAATCTTAATGCCTCTGCAGTTATTATATTAAATGTTTGGTTTTGAAACTTTTGTACCTCGACACAGCCTCTTTTGTTTTTCAGGAGGGACGCAGCCCTTTTTTTTCTGTGTTATGTTAAAATGTTACTACATGACAAAGATTTCAGTTTTCAGATAAAATAATTAATTACAGTTACATCTGTGTGTGCTTGTCGTCAGTCATCCATTTTTTTCTTTTTTGTGTTTTCCTTTAACACAGTCTGAGAGTCCAGCGAGAATACCTCGGCCTGCATCTGCCAAGGGGCAGCGGCGAAGACCCAAAATGGGAGATCAAGGTGACACCCGGCACCCCCTCCTTCAGCTTTATTCATTGACAGCAAGAATATATATTTAATAATTAATAAAAATGTGGCAGAAAGACTTTTTAGTTTGATAGTTTTCTTTTTACGCTTCAATAATAAAGTAACTTGCTCATTCGCCTTGCTCTTCCACTTATCCTTTTCAGGGATTACATTGTTGTGTAAGTAATACATTTTTTTTTATTTGTTTCCCTGCAGAAGAATCTGACAGTGAAGGCGGTAAGTGCTTGCTCTCTTTTATGAGTTCATTTAAAGAAAACCAAAGTTTTTAAGTTATTCCATGAAATCGGTCCCTTAAAAAAAGGTCAACATAAAAGGTTAACTCAGATACTGATTGAACATTAATTGTGTGCATAAATCAATCGAATTACTCTCACAGTAACACCTTTAACAAACCTTAGCAGATACATTAACTACCTCTGCGGTGACAGTAGAAGGTATGAAATAACTTGATATTCCGGTCTGAGTAACAAAGTGAGCCAGTGACTGAATGACTCACTTACCGTTTAACAACGATAAATTTATTTATTTATTTATTTATTTTTTTGTTAAAACCTCTGAACAAGTCGTTCAGGTTTGTTTGTGAAGGTCAATATTAAATACAGCGTTTCAATGGGACCCAACCCAAACTCACCTGCATGCAAATGAATAGGAGCCACACCTGTGGGAAAGATAACAGCAGGACAAATAGCCCCATGAAGCAATTATGGTTTATAGAAATTCCAGTCAGTCTTCACATTTCAGCAGAGCTACGGTAAAAATGCATTTTTTTTTATCTGTCCGTGGAAGCTTTGACAATGAGATTTTAAAGCCTCGTCCTGTGTGCTGTACCACCTGCACCAGGCAGTAATCTGCCCTCTTTTGCACCTGTTTTGCTTCTGACTGCACTCTGTTTGAAAGAAAGGTGTAGTTTAGTTTGGCGTGGTCAGAAATCACGAGAGCCTCACCCAGCAATGGTGTCAAAGGAGCTTGAAGTATACATCAGTGCATCCAGGTGAGAGTTTAAGCCACTGGAGATCTGAAAGAATAAGAGCTTTAGTTGATGCTAAATGAGTCTTTAAATCATATCAAAGATTTTAGGAGTTTTATAATAGAGCACAAAGCTAGCTCAGGAACATTGGTGCATATTTGGTCATGCAGTGTTTTATGACGAGTCAGAATACAAAATGTTGTTATGGGAGGGATTCCTGTTATGTTATGCAAAGCGAATTATTATCTGTTATTTTTCTTTAGCAGATGGAGATGTTCATTTATCCCAGAGACCTGTTCCTCAAGAAAATGGAGAAGTTGGAGGATCGTCAGCGTCATCTGACATGGCTTCCAGGTCTTTAAAGTTAACACTGTCACTAATGAGCCACTGTGCATGGTCACATGCAGATGCTATTCAAGTTACATGTTTTAGTACTGAAGTGGATTTTGTGTTTGTCATAAAACACACACATAGAAAAAGTTGTATTGATTGAGTGGTAGTTACACACATGAATACTTTCAGGAAGTTTTATGACATGTAATTTCACAGTTGCAGTTTAGTGTATGGTAACCAGTTAATATTTTAACATACCATTAGCGAGGTGAGATTTCTGGACATTAGCCTTATTTGTCAATGTTTGGGAGGTCCGAGGAAAAAAGAACAGAAGTAGATTGAGAGAAATGCTTCCTTGGACTCGTTCTGAGGCGCTTTATCAGTGTACTGAGGAAAAAGTCACTCTGTGGCTGTTTTAGGGTTGGAACTTCTTTAGGACACATGCCTGAAGATCCTGTGGGATGAAACATTGCTTTTGCGTGTTTTAGGAATTAAATGATGACATTAGAGCCAATATTGTCCGGGCTTTTTCCTCACCTAAAAATGTTTGCTCTTTTTTCTAATGCTGGTCCACACTTTGGACCTATTTCCTCACCACAGGGGAACCATGAAGTGTTTATGATGTCCACTCTACCAGCATGCCTTATCTTATAGGTGCCAATCATTGTGTTGCTGGCACTTGAAGGTGCTGGTACTGAGCTCTACACGATATGACCATATCATGCAATGTTATGCACAAACCTCCAGTAGACTTTACAGTTTGGATTATAAGGAGAGGAAACGATTTGATTGGTTGGTGGAACAGCTGTGGTGCAGCAGCATCTGTTGCTGTTCTCAGTTTTGTTTATAAAAAAATGAAATGTAAAGCTGTCTTTTAGATTATGGTTGATTTTTTTTTTTCTCCATTCTTCAACAGTAGACAAATAGCACGACCCAGCAGTGCTCGCCCAGCACCTCCTCGAGTCAAGAGACAGGAAAGCTACACTGATGCGAGCCCGGCTGAGAGGTGACTTCATCATTCATATTCATTAATGTTTCTTATGTTCAGATTATGCTGTGTGACATCATTCTTCGCCTAGTTTAGTTCCTACTAGATGTTGAGCCCGTCTAAATGGTTTTTGAACAGTGGAGCAGTGCAGCAAGTCTAACCAGTCACACAGCAGTCAAGCAACATGAATCTCTCCTCTTCATGCTCCTGCCTTTTAAATCTTCTTTAGAATGAGTCAGCCTCTTTGTTCGTCTCTAAGGCTCTCTAGTGCCAAGCCCTCGGCACCCGTCATCATGGATGGAAAAAAGATCGCGGAGGAAGATGAGGATGATGATGAACAGTTTCTTGTGGAGGAGGCAGTCCCTCCACCCTCAGGTGCTCCTGAAGTGGAGGTGGTGAGTGACTTGAACAGTAACTTTTTCATAGAAAAATCTAAGCAAGGAGTAGTTACTATATTTTCTGTTATTCTTATCTATTACAGGAACCTACCCAAGAACTAGACAAAGATGAGAAACACGGTACAGAGCTACATTTAAAATATATATATGTGTGTGTTTGTGTGTGTTTTTAATTCCAGCAGTGCCTCATTTTCTTCTGAATCTCCTGAAATTACTTTTCTCTAACTGTAGGTGGCCTCGTGAAAAAGATCCTTGAGACCAAAAAAGACTACGAGTCGTCCCCGGTGTCCCTGAAATCTAAAGAACAGGTACTGGCCGTGTAGAAGTATTTCGCTTTTGTCCACTAGAGGGCAATATTAGCCTGGCTCTTACCGAAAAACTAGTCTCACCAAAAACCTGGGTTGAACCTTTCCGCCATCTCTCTCAGTCATTCTTTCTGGAAAGCTTGCTCCTTGGGAACACGCTCTTACCACACCGAAAAAACACAGCGCAACCCTGGTTATTATCAAAAGAAAGATATAAACAAATGAAGTGGGGAGGTGTAATTGCACTGCCTCGAAACCACAAAAATGTTCCCCATCAGTGAAGCTGAAGGGCTAATCACCAAACAAGCAAGTATGGGCCTTAAAGGACCACACACACAATTAACACACTCATCAAGATGTCTGGAGCAAAGTGAGCTTGTTTTCTTGGGTTGCCCACTATCTCAAGTTACATACTGCTTTATTTTGTTAAAAGCATCTACAATCCTTGAAACAGGCTTTTTTTTTAGCTCGTGCCCTCTATTTTTTACACGTCTTTATACATATACATGTTTTTTTGATGTGTGTTTTTGTTTTTTGGGGACTGGTGGGTTTCGCACACAGATCAGAAGCGCTCGGTTTTATCGTTTTTTTGTTTTGTTTGTTTGTTTTTCTATTTTCTCCTCTTTGACTTTTAGTCTTCATAATATACACGATTGACCAGTTTTCTCAAGGTGACATGCTTCTGCCATTGCTCACGTTCGACATTTCCCCACAGTGAGCCTTTGTATCAGCCAGCGAGAGACTTCCATCAATATTTGGAGTATCAGACAGTGTGAAGCTTGCAGTTTGGTCTGTAGTCCGTGGCGTGAGGTGGTGTATGCTGTCTGCTTTGGGTGGTCCACTTCACTGAAGCTGACCACCCTGCCTCTGATGGATGCACTGTTTTGGCCTGTAACTCATGCAAAAACACCCTGCTGATCTATCTCTTCCAAACTGCGACTTCAGGCATCATCCCTCATAACTCACACCTGCAGGAATGTTTTGGCCCAGCTTTTAACAAACCTTACTGTTGTGCGAGCGTGCACATGTGCAAACAGACACTCACAGAGGAAACCTTCAGAATAACCGGCTCTTTGAGTAACGTGAGCGCACGCTTGCGGAGATTATTCTAATTTTCTTAATGTAGCCTCCTCAGATTTCAGGGGCCTGCAGTCTGCCATCCTCGACTCTCCTGTGTGATCTGCAGTCGAATGTTCGCCCCTCTGCCGCTATTGGCTTTTCCTCGTCAGCTGTATAAAGAACTATAATGACTTCCTTCCTGACATGAAAGGGTAGAGAGGTCAGCTTAGAGTAGTTTTTTTTTCTTTTATTGTAATCACAGTAAAATGCGCAGGCACAAAAATGTAAATATTGAGTTTCATTGGTGTGTGCAGTTTGAAATTATGCTGCTGCAAGTGGTATTATTTTAATACCAGTATTTAAAAACAGTGTCTGAGTAAGTTGCAAGTCACACTGATTTAGCATCAGGCTCAGTACGCACATCCTGGCCTTTTTGTATATTTGAAGTCTTTATTCTGTCCCACTTTGTTAGTCCTAATTTAATTGTGTTCTTTCTCTGCTGATGTAAATAAAGGGAACACTTAAACAGCCAAGTGATTATATTTTGCCGTGTCCCAGCACTGTGTGCGTGTCTTTGCTGTATATTTTTGGGGATGACCTTCCTCATGACCTCTTGGTGGCCTTGTATATTATTCCGAGATGGTTCTCTTTCTATTTAGACAGAATCCGCTCCTTGCAACAGCTGCGTTTTCATAAGAATTTTTGTGTACTTTTTTTCCCCCCATTAAATTAGCCTTGATGAAGGTTTGTAGTGTATAAATAAACCCCGTGGCATACAAATGGATGGCTGTTGAGTGAGAGTCACGGAGCAGGAGGGCCAGAATACTCTGCAGAATTGTCAAGAAAATAAATACTCGGCTCTCCAGACCTGTGTCTTCATAAACATGGAGCGTTTTTTGTGGAAACATGAGGAAATGACCCCGTGGCATTCCATTAGTCACATTACTTTTTTAGAGGTCATATTGACAGGTTTTGGTCAGGTTTTTGAGTAACCTACCTGAAGGCAGCTGAAAATTGTTTTCTGGCTTGAACTCCACCTTGATGATATATTTAATACCTTCAAAGCCGTCGCTCCATGAGAACCTTTTAAAGATTATGAAGCTTTTTTAAAGCTCAGTTTCCATTTTCCGGTTGCTGCAGTACAGCCAGCGGTCCCCTGGAAGTTTCCTCTCACTTCACCTGACACCCCAGGGGTTTGCTCCTCGATGTCTCCCCAGTGGGCCACAATGACCTTCTAACAACATCCTGTGACCTCATTTTTTTCCCCTCCTTACTTCACTGACTTCAAACTATTTTTATGATCTAGCAAGACTTCTGAATAAACTTTTAGGAAAACTAACCCTAAATCTCATTCTGTGATTACGCTTCCTGGCTCACCTCTCGGGTTTTTTACAGGAAAGCAGCTGACATCTGCTGTGACGGTAATAGCCAGGTTTGCGCTCTCTTCTAAGGAAGCTGATGTTACGCCATCAGTGACACAGCTCACGTCTAAATCATTGTTTTCCCAGTTAATCAGACCCTAAAGATTGCTGTGCCACTGACAGGCTCCATGTTTACAAGCCATTTTTCATGTCAGAGGATTCTTTGAAGAATGTTTTTCTCCTACGCCAGAAAATCCCCACAAGCGCTCCATAAATCACATTTTTGCATGCATTTCCTAATTAAGCTCATTAGGCATGTGATGACTGAGTGAATTTTACTTTGTATTGTACCTCACCATGTCATAATCAAGTGTTTGGAGATTTTCGGGTCTGCCGTCCCAACTTTTGAAGGAGGTTTTTAAATGTAATGAATGCAGCTCCACGGGACAGAGAAAACGTTAAAACCTTCGAAAAACCTCCTAAAACCTCTTTGTTTTGAGTCCACAGCCACTTCTTTGGCATCAGCCAAAGGTCGTGTCTTCCTTTTGCATCGTGCTTTTATCGCCGTCTAAGATAATGGGAAAACCTGCCCCTTTCCTCCTCTCTCGCCCCTGCGCCTCTGCGGTCACCTTGTCTAAATATTGTTCTGTGATCTGGGTGAGAAGAAGGAAAACTAGGAGTACACAGGTCTCGCAGACACCGACGAAGACCTCCATAAAGCTTGATTTATATCTACATGGACAGAGTGCGCATGTACAAGGGGTCATGTTTTCATGCCAAGTTTTTTATTTTCCAACAGAGAAGAAGTGGTGGGGGTGTGGAGGTAGCATGGGGATGGCAAACAGAATGAAGCCATGGGTCCCGTCTGGGCTGTGCAGACCAAACCGCAGCCAGGCAGGCCGAATGAACCATAGAGTATTTGTCTAGCTGCAGGGTTCATGGTGCGCAGTGGAAAGCCACCCACCTTGTTGGGGGGACCAGCAGGCCAAGGCATTTCAGCCCTCACACTCTTGCGCTACCACAAAGGAACAGCAGAGCGAGGTCGACAGAAGTGTGTGCTTTCCCTCTGCAGAGAAATGGTGGCAAACAATAATGTTTGATGTCATTTCTGCTGTGTGGTCTCGTCTAGTCGAGCTGCTTTTCAGAATTGTAATTAGTGAGGCGATTGGTTTGTTTTAAGAGGTGCCTTGATAAGGCAAAAGCTACAGTGCCAGCTACGCCAACCATATGTGCTCCACTGCTCAGCTGGGGGCGTGACAGTCGGTGTGTTTGAATGAGGAAGCTGTCATTTAGTTTGCACTGTGCTGCAACTATGAATTCCTCTGCCTCGTGAAGGCAGGTGCTGCCATTTGTGAAGCCAAATAGCATAATTTGGGCCAAGCTTGAAAGGAGGCATAAGTGTAGGAGTTGTTACTTAATACTTTAGTAAAATAACCCCACTGCCACAGCCTGTTACTAAAATAAACAGGACTTAAAGACCAAGTTTGCTGGTGGGGGTTGTTCACTGTATGCTTCGTCTGATCCTCTGGTTGGTGTGTGTGTGTGTGTGTGTCTGTGTGTGTGTGTGTGTGTGTGTGTGTGTGTGTGTGTCTGTAAGGTTGCAGTTTGCAGTGCTTTCAAATTACGCACACACATTCAGGCCTCGCGAATCCCAGCTGAGCAAACATCCTTGGGTTTGCTCCTTACCGAGGGAGGTCCCTCCCTGATACCTTCCCCTCCTTTTCTCCATCAAGGGTCTGAGTGTAATTGACATAGAGCGACCCCCACCCCCCCCACCGTCCACTTTAGCCGCACACCATACACTGGAAGCCTTCAGCAGCCAGTCAGCCCCGTCCTCCTACTTTAACCAACACAATTCAGCAGCACCTTTGATCTTTATATATACAGCTAGGTTGGTAGAATTCCCGCCTAACATTTTTAGCCTTGAAATCCCAAACCACTAAATGCAGCCCTGCTCTGGCTCTGGATATTTGAGACTTTGCTGAAAAAGGTGGAATTCCTAAAGAGGGTTTATTGTGTATTGGTCTGGGGACACACAAGTGATTTGTGTCTGTTTGAAACATTGCTGAGTGGGAAACCGTCCCACGTCATCAGCTTGCGTGTGCTTAGAATCTGATGTTTGCGAGTTTTGAATTCAATGTTTTTAATCCACCCGACCTCACCTGTCGTACCACCTTCCCTTTCAGAATTTGGTGTCTGAAGCAGCGCAGAAAAAGGAGCGGGATATGGTGACAAAAGAGATCGAACGGCTGCGCTCATCCATTCAGCTGGTGTGCCGTAGTTCCCTACCTTTAGGCAAGATCATGGACTACATCCAGGAGGACATGGATGCCATGCAGGCTGAACTGCTTTCCTGGCGGCGGGAAAACAAGGAGCACGCACAGGCCTTGCTGCAGGAGCAGAGGTTCGGTCACCGAATAATTAACACACTTTTTAATCTTTGTGCTGTTTCCAACACCAGATCACACACACACACACATTTGTGATTCTAGCTATACTCTTTTTGTACTCTTACAGTCAAAAAAAAGAAAGACGACTATCAGTACTTCACAAGCTGCTAAGTCATCTTCTGCTTTCATGCACACAATTATTGTATCCCTTCTTTGTGTGTGCGTGCTGCAGAGCGACAGATCGGGCAGTGGAGCCTCTTAAAGCTGAGCTAGCTGAGCTGGAGCAGCTGATTAAGGACCAGCAGGACAAGATTTGTGCTGTACGGTCCAACATACTGAAGAATGAAGAGAAGATCCAGAAAATGGTGACTGGAATCAAGGTCTCCTCCAGAACCTGAACAAGAAACAAGATGCACAAGAAAACCCCCAAAAACGCACTGAACATTCAGGTGGGAGTGGGTTCTCATTCAGAATAATGGTAAGGCCATTTTTCTTGGAGGTGTTGTGGAATTACGGGACCACTTTTAGGTTTTCAGACCAGGAGATGGACCCAAATATATTCCTACTCCACTTTAAGATATTGGTACTTGAAAGGGCCGCTCGACGGTTTAGAGGTCTGAAACTGTTCCCAAAAAACTAGATGATGGATTGGAAAAAGTGGATGATGCTGGAGACATAGCAGCTGAAAACACTGACAGATGAATGAATAAATAAAATGCATCTTTATGATCTGCACACTAACGTAACCCAATCTTTGGCCCTTCTTTTGAAATGGTGCCTTCGTGCATTGAGCCAGTGCACAGCTCACAACTTGAACATTACAGCAGAAAGCTGCACATTCATCCACTGGACCAAATTTGAAATGTTTCCTCGTTCATTTAATCACCGAGTTTTTGAGGGCGTGGTGCACTCGGCATGTTATTCTTGTGAGCACTTGATATTTGACATGCAGTTTGACCGGAGTAGTGAGCAGACCCGTAACAGTAATTAAACATACTCACGGCACATCCAGCTGATTGAAAGCAGGAGGAACGTTTAGATAGAACGTTTACATTTTCTACAAAACAATCGGACGCTCGTGGAGAGGCCTGGAGTGGAGCTGATAACAACGCGTGTTACATGAATGTAGTGTCTTGGCATGAATTTGTCCAGTAACATTTTCCAACCTTTTAACATTTCATTGACATTTACAGTTTTCATAAACCAATTTTTTTTTTACTGTGTTAAATCGAAAAGAAAAAGAAGACTGCTCTGAAATTTTCTCTACATCAGTTTCACACATTTTATTCAACCATCTGTGAGAACTGTCACAGTCAGCTCCGACACGAAACAGGCTTTACTCTGCCAGCTCACTAGGGATGGGTATCGTTTAGGTTTTATCCGATACCGGTGCCAAATCGGTACTTTTGAAACGGTGCCGGTGCTCAAACGGTGCTCAAACCGGTGCTTAAAGAATGGAGAACACAAAATTGGTCCAAAAACCTCTCATGTTCAGCTGTTTTTTGTAAAAATATAACAATGTTAGCCTTTTCTGCAGCTATGGGGCATATATGGCATCACTCTTGGCTGGAAGCAGTGCTTAAACAATGGAAAAAACACAAACTTTGTCCTAAACCTCTCATGTTTAACTGTTTTCCACTTTTTCTTTGGTCATTTTAGCCTTTTTAGCCAGGGTGAAGGGAGTATCTGCCATCAAACAAGAGGACAGCCGCATGTAGCTATGATGATGTTTGCTAGTTCACCTTACATGCATTAATGTAATAACGTGGTTAGCCTACTCAACGTAAATTAGCTACTCACGCAGAGAAGAACGGCTGCTGCCACCATCATCCGTCATCATTTCTGCTACACTGGCAGGGCTAGGGGCCAGGACTCTCCTCTTCGTGTTTTTGGGGGATGTTGCATAACAGGCAACCCACCCGCAGTAGATGTGCACGGTGTGAGGTCTCGCAGCAAGCTGTCAAATACGGCGCATTTCTGGGCTTTTAAAAAAAACGCTATGCGTCGCCAGGTGTTTCATCAGATTCGAGGTGTTAGCTCCTTTGCACAGTATGACAGTATCAGCTTAAAGCACTTGTTGCTGCTGAGTTTGCATATTTTGCTGTGAAGTACAGCCAGACTTTTGACCGCTTCGCCTTGGACATTTTTAATCTGTAGCTCTGTTCTAACAGAACGTACGTACCTGGCCCCGCCTACTATCCTCGGAAACGTAAAATGATTGGCTAGAATCTAAAGTGTATCACAGCTCAGGAAAAAAAAGCACCGAAATAAAGCACCGAAATGTGCGCTGCTTTTCGGTCTGGTCACTACCGTTTATGTCAGAACCGGTGCCATCATGGCACCGGACACCGGTACCCATCCCTACAGCTCACTAGTGCAAAGTCTGTGTAATGTCTGATGTCCCCCTGTGAGAAAAGTAGATGTGAGCGGTGATTTCAAAGTGAGTCAGTGAGTGTCACGCATCCTGCCTCCTGCACGCTTTAACCAGAGCAAACCTTCATCTGACCCAAACTGTGAGCTCACAGTTGTGTGTGCTGCATGTGGGAGAGGACACCACCGGCAATATCTCGAGTCTTCGTTCTTTAGCTGTTATCCGAAGGTCATGAGTGGAAACTGCTTGCGCTACTTTAAAAACACTCTTCCACTTTTGAGGCACTGCTGCACTTTGATTAGAGCGTTTTTAGAAAAAAGCTTTTTGCAATAAGCAATGTTCACACTCTGTCGTATTTCTAACTCTTTTATAAATACACTAAGCTTGTATACTTTAAAGGAAAAAGCAGTGAGCATCCAGGGGAGCCACCATCTTGTACTGTCGTACTGCCAAACTGATAGGAAGTTTTGTAAGCTTTCTCTATACATTGAAAAGTATGAATTCATATTTTACTAGCTTCCTTTGCAACTTGTAAGAAATGCTTTGCACTAATATGAACATTGCTGGACTTGTAGTAAGTTGGATAGTAGAGATGAGAGACTGAAACTAGATCCTGCCTCAGTTTCCCTGAAAATGTTGGTATTGAAAAGGTGAAAAAAAGAGTCATCCAAATGTGAATGAAACAAAAATACAAACTTTGCGTGGCTGCTGAGTGAAAGTGCGGTAACCACACACACACAGAAAGTAATTTACAGTAATTTTACAGTTTTTAAGACTTGTACACAGCTTGTTATTCTGGTTGGTTCTGCTGCACTTTTTCTTCCCAGAAAACACAATTACACAGAAAATCACTGCTGGAAAATAACACTTCCTGTGAAATGTAGGTGATTTTGATGAATGGAATCCATTACACCTTTTCTCCATCATAACCACTAAATGCAGTTTTTACAGAACTAGATGCTTTATTTCATATGCGAATGTGGCGACTTGTACACTGCACAGCGACTCCCTTTCTCACAAATATTTACACCACCTAAATATTTATTTTCTGCCCAGACTAGGATTTCTGCCTGCCTTACCAAACCTGTGGGTTAGCAAACTTGTGGCTGACACAACATGTGGGCTGGGAGTCATTGGTGGAAAAATGAGGCTTGAAACTAGAACAGAAAGCCAGTGGGCAGACATTTGTAGGCTCTGATGTTAATTTAAACGGCATTCGTGTTTGTAAGGGGAAAAATATAATGTGGCTGTCTTTTAAAAACGTGGCACTCTACATTTTAACTTATCAGGCAAAATACACTGTAATTTGACTTATCTCCATATTTATATCAGTATTATAAAAATAATACATTGGAAAACTTACAGGAAATGTTAGCGTTCTGAAAAATGTCATTTCAAAAATCTCATCTGGAAAAGTGGGAACCCGCATGCTCATTCATTATATTAAAAGGCTTTTTATCGTGTACACTATAAACTGTACATTATGTATATGTGGAGACTGTATCATAGTTCAAATAATTATATAATTTTGTAGTGGAGTGAAATAAATGGTTACATTGCAATAAAGAATTGTCTCATTTTTGTGTGTTTTTGTATGAAGTTTGAAGATGTTAGCTTGGTCTAGATTATTCCAGAATAACATTGGTATCATTTTTTTCATTTCATTTATATGTATTTCTTTTTTAAAGATTTTTGATACTCACACCCTCAAGCAGACTCTTATGTGAAAGACTCGTCCAGCAGACCATCCAGTGACATCCAGCAACTTTCTACGGCAGCGCTGTTACAGACATCTTTGTAAGACGCCCTTTAGCATCACTTTCACAGCAACTGAGCCTTTGTTTTGCAACCTGCAGATTTAGCTGAAGCTCCTTTTGCAGAAAGACTTCAGCACATGGCGCTAAAGAAGGCAAGCCTCAGTTGTGCGTGTCTGTTTAACGATGCAGTGCAGGACACAGCAAAGTGACTCAAGACATGTCAGACAAATTCAGAGCATTTTTCTCTGAATTTATACAAAGCTTAGAAGCTCTTTTGCTTTTGAGTTTCACTAATCTTGGAGACAAATGAAAATAAAATCACTTTTGCGACTTTAATCTGTGGATAAAACACACAAGTATCCTGTTTTAATTAAATTATAATTTAAAATGATCGTGTGTGTGAGAACTAACCTGAGTATTTTGGCAGATTTTGTGTTATTACTGACCACCATGACTAACACTATGAAACTAGCTGAAGTGCACTTTTTTAACCATGAGCAGGTTTCCATGTTCAGCGATGGCAGTCTGTAAACAGTCCGTCCTCCTATGGGGCCACATGGCATTTATTTTTAGAGCACCACCAGGACCTCAGTGTCTGTCAGCAGGCAGCATAGAAAGCCATAGCTGCATGCCTGCCTGGTGTATGTTACCCACCCCAAAATTACTCATTAGTTACAGCACAGGTGGCAGAATCTCATCTGCAACTATCAGTTAAACAGCGTCTTCTTCACACTACACACAGATCTCATATTTGACTTACACCGCAGAGCTATGAACATTCATCAAATTATGCCTCACATTCATTTGAGGTAAGGCAGTGGCCTGCTACATTTTTAATTCAGCATAATTATTTCTGACACGTGTCCTGGCAGAAAAATAAAGGATTTTTTTCACTCGAGTTTAATGCCTGGTCTTGTGGTGAAGGCCTTAAAGCAACATGTAGGCGTTTAGGCTTGGAAGTAACACGTTTAGTCGATCATAATTAATAAAGTGTGACTGATATTTATTGGAGACTGTGATGAACTTTAGGAACGCTTCTAAATATGATGTGCCCCTAAAGTTTTATGTAAACAAAAGGCGATCGTGGCTTGAGAGTTGGGAGTTCGCCTTGTAATCGGAAGGTTGCCGGTTCGAGCCCCGACTCCAACAGTCTCGGTCGTTGTGTCTTCGGGCAAGACACTTCACCGTTGCCTACTGGTGGTGGTCAGAGGGCCCGGTGGCGCCAGTGTCCGGCAGCCTCGCCTCTGTCTGTGCGCCCCAGGGCGGCTGTGGCTACAATGTAGCTGTGTGTGAATGGGGGGATGACAGGTTGTGTAAAGCGCTTTGGGGTCCTTAGGGACTAGTAAAGCGCTATACAGGCCATTTACCATCTTTTATGTACAGGCTATCAGAAACGCACGCTTGTGAAACATTTTTTGTATTGAATGATTGCGTAATGAACATCTTTTAGGCCTTTGTTGGTGATGTTTTGATCTTTTATGGGTTAACAGTGCTTTAAAGTCGGAGACCATCAGCTCCACGTTTAACGCAGCGTTTCCCCTTTAAATCCCAGCAGCTGAGCTCAGCCAGGAAGTGGCGCAGTGAGCTGGAGCAGCAGACGTCTTCATCATCACAGTCACGTTTGTTTACGTTCATGCTTCTTATCTGATCCCAGGTCGCTTGGGTTTCTCTATTTCTGGGGACCCAGTGTCGCTCTGCAGCCGCAGCACCAACCTTCAGCTTGACGCTGTGACCATTTTGGGAGCATGGCCGACGGTCCAGAGGCTGATGTTGACGACCCACCCAGCATCAATTTCCCCCCGCTCATCACCGTGTCCGATCTACCCAGCGCTACAGCTGCAGGTAACTATGGCTGCGAGAACCGTAAGCGATGATGATTGATCATCGCAAGCACCCACAGGCTGTCCTGCAACTGTGCCCCGTTTGCAGGAGGACGGCCAATATGCGTGACATATTACAGATGTGGTGGTGTTGGGAGGAGGAGGAAGAAGGGGACGGTCTGTAGCCTAATAAGGTGTGGCCAATGGATTCAGGAAGCGTTCACATCTCCAGTGCTGCAGTATAGCTGTGACACTTCATCTGTTTTTCTGTCTAGTCACACAAGTAATAGAGTTGTAATGGATTGATTTGACCTGAAGGCTCAGGCAGAAGAGCTCACGGTAATAGAAACATCTGCAGAACATAGCCTAGTGTAACGTGGATCCTTTTAATGTGTATTTCAGGAGCTGTTTTACTGTGTACATCTCCATCTGTGGGAGTTCTCTGAGCACAGCATGGAGCAGACATGAGAAAATGTCACTACACCACTGCTGCTCATCTGCAGCCACCTTATGTGTATTTTGTCTTATGTGTATTTGAGCTGAGATATCATTTACACTTGATAATATGCAGAATAGTTTCAAAATATCATTTTGTATGGTAACAAATCACCCTGCAAGACCAGACAAAACCAACTTTTCATTTCTGTTATTCTCCCTGAAATGCTGTGTTTGGCAGGTCGTAACCTGAAGGAATGGCTGCAGGAGCAGTTCTGCGACAAACCCCTGGAACAGGATGACATGCGCCTCCACAACGCGGCCTATGTCGGAGATCTGGACACCCTGAGGAACCTGCTGCAGGAAGACGGTTTCAGACGGTGAGGCCGAGCAGTAATAAGTGTATTTGGCTCTCTAGTTAGCAAAGTTAACACATGCTTTACTTGGTAAATGATAAAGCAAAACATCAATACAAATGAAAATGACAAGGTACCAAAACATTGCAGGCAGAGAGACAGCAGAATCTGAGAGAGACTATAGATTTATTTTGTATAAAGATTACAGAATAGTATATTTGTTATTGTCTCTTACAGCAGAACTGTCTTTTCCCCCCAAACAAGTCCAAAGATAACCTTATTCCAAATAATTTTCATAGGAGTAAACACAGACCAAAAGCAGGCTGCTGTTACCATCATCTTACAGCAGGATGGGTGTCTTCCAATACCCATAGCATTATATTGCATACAGCTAGAGGATCATAGTTTAATGCCAATGCAATGTCAAAGCAATATACTACAAATGTAGTGCATGTAACAGAATTTAAATTTGATGTAGTAAAAGTAAAAACATGCAGTTTACAACTCTGATATCTGTGGAAACCTTGTGGAGGGAAGCAGCCCTGCAGCACTACGGGAGGACTAAAAATACACAGAGAACCTTTCAGTGGCTCAGTCCAGTAACCACCAAAGCATTGTAATGCAAAATGCTTTGCTGTTGTTAGCTTCAGTGCTTCCTCCTATTGATGCAGAATCAGAGCCTGGATTTACCAACTGGAGAACATACAGAGCCATCTCATAGTCATGAGCATGCATGCAATGAGGGAAATAACAATTTGATCCTCTAGTGAACATTTAAATTTGCTCGCTTACAAAGAAATAAACAGTCTCTAATTGTAATGGTAGTTTCATTTTAATGGAGAGAGACAGAATATCAACTAAAAATCCATAAAAATCATAAATTATTTTCATGTCATTGAGTGAAATAAGTATTTGATCCCCAAGCAAAACACGAGTTGGTACTGAGTGGCAAGTACAGCAGTAAGACGTCTCTTGTAGTTGGTCACCAGGTTTGCACACATCTCTTCTCTTCACAGAAACTCTGTAAATGCTTTATGTTTCAACTTAAATCTTCAGCTCCCTCCACAGATTTTCTGTAGGACTGACATCTGGAGACTGGCCATAATGTACTTCTTCTTCAGTCACTCTTTTGTAACCTTTGTGGAATGTTTTGTGTCATTGTCATGCTAGAAGACCCATCCAAGTCCCATCTTCAGTGTTCTTGCTGAGGGAAGGAGGTTCTCATCCAAGATTTTACAGTACATGGCCTCATCCACTGGACCCTTCAATGCAGTGAAGTTATCCTATACTCTCAGCAGAGAAACAGCCCCAAAGCATAATGTTTCCACCTCTGTGCTTGGATGTGTGGATGGTGTTCTTTGGGTCATACTCCGTATTTCTCTTCACTGGCAAACCCAAAGTGCTTTCCTCAGAGGGGAGAGCTTGCAGATGCTGTGAGATTTCTGTCCATTATGGTGTAGTGTGTTCCCAGTGTAGGTCACAACTGCCTTCAGACCATTAACATGCTCCTCTCATGCAGTTTTGGGCTGATCCACCACTTTTCTCATGATCATCCTTGGAGCTCCAGACCGAGGGCAACTGATGGTCATTTTATTTTTCTTCAGTTTCTGAATAATCGCACCCACAGGCCTACGATCTTACCCCTGATGACCTTTGACATCTTTTGGAGAGGTTGAAATGGAAGAAACTGATTGTATGCTCATGTGTGCTTTATGCATATAAGAAGCTGAGATCAGGAGTTTCTGTTATTGACTGAATGATTGTAATCTGTAGGAGCCAGAATGCTGGCTGGTTTGTAGGGGATGAAATACTTATTTCACTCAATGACATGCAAATGAAATTATAACTTATATGTATTTTTTTTCTGTATTTTTTGGTTGATGTACCATAAAATTAGAGACTGTTTTTTTTCTTTGTAAATGCGCTTAAATTGGAAACGTATTACCCTGGACCTCTCCTTTCTCTGTTTTGGTGTTAGGCGTATCAATGAGAAGTCTGTGTGGTGTTGTGGCTGTTTGCCCTGCACCCCTCTGAGGATTGCAGCCACAGCGGGACACGCAGCATGCGTGGCCTATCTGATCGCTCAGGGAGCCGAGGTGGACCTAGTTGATGTCAAAGGCCAAACAGCTCTGTATGTAGCTGTGGTTAATGGTCACCTGGACTGTGTACGGATTCTTCTTGAAGCTGGAGCCGATCCCAATGGTAGCCGCCACCACCGCAGTACCCCGCTGTACCATGCTGCACGAGTGGGGAGGCTGGACATACTGCAGGAGCTCATCAGGTGAGCCTTGGGAAGGATCAAACTAAAGTCTACATGGACAGAACTGTTTTATATATAGGTTAAATGTTTAAATACGTAAAGAAAATTGGCACTAAAATAGTTTTTATCTTCCATTACGCCACTGAAAACTGGTGGGAGTCGGTTCCAGTTATTACAGTTTCTTTTCATATGGTTTAATCTTTGCACATGAGATTATCTGTGCTTTGCATTTTTAATCCACTACTTTCTTTGTGGTGCAATCATTTCCAATAGCTGTTTTGTAACTTCCTGACTTTAAAAAACATTTTCTGTCACCTTTCCCAGAAAGCAAAAAGACAAACATAAGACCGAAAAACCAACATAAAAACCCCACCAACCATTAAATTCAGTAGCATTTCCCCAGCTGCAGTTTTTAGATCAATTCTGGAAGTCCCATTATGACCCCTGGCACCGTAGCACTACGATTTCACAACAGACCTGAAACTTGCACTTTGAATCTGACCCAACTTTCTGTGGAGGAAAATTTTCAGCAGTTAGAGTCCAGAGTTTTCTGACGTGCAGCAGACCAGGTAACGATGTTCTGACGCTGAATTCCTTTATACAACAAATGGATTTGTTGTAAAGAGGAAAGCTTCTCAATTTATATTTTTCCACAGTAATAAATATCTCTGTATTCTTTCCTTTAGTTTGCATCAAGGATTTATGAAAGAAAATTTAGTCTATGGTTACATTTTTTCTAGGTTCAATGCTGATGTTGACATGGACCACCAGCTGGGTCCGCGGCTCCTGTTAAGCGCTCGAACCCTCAACACTCTAGTGGTCTGCCCTCTTTACATAAGCGCAGCCTACCACCACCTTCACTGTTTCCGGCTGCTGCTCCAGGCCGGCGCTCAGCCCGACTTCAATTACACAGGTCCTGTCTGCCATGAGGCTTTGACACGAGGTTTGGCTTCCTGCCTGCTGGATGCAGTCCTGCGACACGGATGTGAAGTGGCCTTCATCCACCTGCTGCTGGACCACGGAGCGAACCCAGCCCTCGTGCCCTGGGATGATTCGGATTTGGAGGCTCCAAATCGAAGGAAAGTTGATCCAGAGGCACTCAGTGTCTTCTTGGAAGGAAAAAGTAAGTAACAAAAAACGATGCTGTTGCTTTATACAAAGCTCCGGCACGGAGCTTTTTTTGGTGCACCTCCTCACAACACCAGAATATAATTTAGTTAATAAGTTGTGAGTTTTTGCAGAGCTTCGTAAAATTGTCTCTCAAAATTGTGGATTTAATGTAGAATCAATAAAACCGGTGTCATATGTTTACATTTCGTATTGCTGGTTCAGATTGTTCATACTGAACAAAAATGAAGTTCATTAACTGATTTCTGATTAATACTGATTAAATGACCAATAGAGCGTTCTGAGAGATATGAAGTAAAAGCATGAATAATAGTCAGAGGCTCACTCAGATTCAATATCGATTGGATTCTTGCAGTAAACAGGTTTGATGTCAGTGGATTTTACTGGGAGGTAAAGCAATGTGTCATTAGCATAGCAGTGCATCAAAATATAATTTCTCTGCCTAATGTGGTCAAGTGATAAAGAGGAGAGCTGTGGTTACCAATGGAAACAAAAACAAATTCCAGTTGATGGGAAAAAAGTCTTATCGGGTGTAGTAAAAGTGAAAACAAGGAAGTAGTTTCAGACACCATTAGTTTGTGAATGAAGGCTTTTGAGGCTTTACGATGAAGCATCATTAATGTCATTAGCAACACGTATGTACTTCTTTCTGTAAAGACCCGAGTTTGCAGATTACTGCTTTTAGTTTAAGGATTTCATCTCATATATGTTTAGAATAAGCATTTTTCCTCGTGTTAAAGCTTAGCTGCTTTTACATGAAACAGGGACCTTGTAATGCATGTTTCTGGACATTTGTTGATGCTGAGGAGCTGATATAAAGAAGCCCATAAAGTACAATGAAAAAGGTCATTAAAAGCCACACTTTTATGTTTCTACTTATACAAAAGCATGAAAGCATATGCAGTTGTTCAGCTGCATCTATTTTTTCTTCTCCCAGGAAACCCTCGTAGGCTGACACATTTGTGTCGCATCAGGATCCGCAGAACGATGGGCAAAAATCGTCTAAACCACATATCTTCTTTACCGCTTCCAGAACCTATCAAGATTTTCTTGCTTCACCAAAACTGACCATCATCCACCTACTGGTCTTGTTAAATGTTCATTTAACCCAGTCTTTAAAAGAAACCTCAGTCAGTCCCAAAGACACACTACTGCATAAACACTGTAAACCCAGATTGCTAATTGCTTATTATTTTTTATTAAGAAATAGTTATTAATAATATTTTCCAAATAATATTTGTTTGGAAATCATCATTTATGTAAAAAAAAAAAAAATCTTCCTCGCCGTGTAAAATGCTTCTTATCTTATCAGAGAAGCCATAGTTATGTATTGACTTGTGGAAACTGTGTGTGTATTCTAAATGTTTGCCTTGTGACCTCCCAGATCACCAGGACGAGTCCTGCTAATACTTCAAGTAGCACTTTTTAGCTCAACGACCAGAGCGAGAATCTCATTTGAAGCAACGACTTAAACAAGCCATGTTATAAATACCCCATCCACGGGCAGAGAAGAATATTGTCCAGATGCAGCTCCTTGAATTGTTTGGTTGTTGTTTTATGTAAACCAGGCAGAATGACGGCAAAAATGTGCAAAAAAATCCACACGCTAGATCCTCTTTGTTAGCCACGTGCCTTAACTTTGAGTTTGGGAAAAGTGGCTTCAAAGATTGATCAGACCAGAGTTAGTTACGGTAATCCAAATTAATCGAGTGTGATGTTCCCGGATGAGCAATTTAAGGACCTTGATTGTAAAGTTTACATTTTGTGACGTACATGTCAGCATCAAAATAAAAATTTAAAAAAGCCTTTTTTTCAGGGGGGCATTTAGATTGTTTCAATAAATGTAATGAAACTCCTTTTCTGTGACATTGACAATCTGTCAACTAGTGAATGAAATCTATTTGTGATAAACAGAATAAGTTTGTATTTATTAGATGCCATCTCTGGGAGTCTACTGCACCTACTGTGTACTGTGCATGTCTGTTGCACAGCCTATCTTGTCCTCAAACATTGACATTTAAATGTTGACCATGTTGAGACAGTTGTGCTTTATATATTTCATCTCTATTTGAATGAGTAAATGTATGTAATTGTATAATATCTCTTGTGTTTTGTGTTCATTTTTTGTGAGTGAGGGGAGGTGGGTGAGTGGGTCAGTCTTCCAAAGTAGGATCCCTCTGCGTGGTCTTTGTTCTGTTAGCTATCTTCCTTGAACATATCTAATTAGAGATAATTATCTCTCCCCTCCTTTCCTCGCAGTCTCGTCCAAGATCTCTTTGTAGTCCAAAATATCATGTCTCAATCTTTTTCAGCCTAGGGAACCCTCATAGTCCTAGCTCTGAGAGCATGCATCCACTGTTAGTTTCAATGATTGGTTTGCTCCAAAATTGAGTTTTTAGTCTTATGTTTCATCTCTCATGACTGTAGCCTTGCTGTTTCTCATTGTTGTTTTTCAGCTTGTGATATTTATAGATGCGTAATTTTTAAAACAAGAGTGACGATGTCTCAATGGGTTCATGTATTACTGATGTGAGGCCGATGAATGAACCAGGATATCCACGATGGCTGAGAAAACCGCGTTTTGGTGAAAACATAAGAGGCCCAGTGGAAAATGCACAGCCTGGGAAACCCTGAATAAAAGCAGCAGGGAGCTCAACAGCAGAGGGGAGATGAGGGCTATCAATCCAGCAGTTCTGGCAAAGACCTGGGATAGCTTTTGAAAAAATAACTCTCGGGCGGTAAATAAAGACTTCCTGCCAACATGTTTCTTCACAGTGTGTCTGTTTTGTAAGGACAAAAGGACCAAAACTGGATAAAATCAAATTTAAATGATAGAAATCTGAGTGAACATCAGTGTTAGAGAGATAAATAACAGAAAGTAAGACTATGTCCAGTTAGAGATGCCAGTGTGTAAGTGAATGGATTTAACAGGTCTTCATGCATGCCCGTGCACAACAACTGTTGCCGTGATGTCTCTAGATGGCACTGTCTTCCTTTCAAGCATGGCAGAAATCTCAGCATCTCTCCTATCTTCTTATTTCACCCTCTCTTTCTCATATCTGCTTTTGTGTTTGCCATTCTTTCTTTCTTTTTTTAAACCACCTCTCGTCTTTCCGTCCATCGCTTGTCTCCCAGCCGAGGTCAGTGTAGAAGATTCAGCAGCTGTGCGCTCAAGAGCCTCTTCCTTTCAGATCTCATTAAAGCGAGTCTTTCATTAACAGAACACACAGAGAGATGCAGAATGAGGCCCTTTGCACCAGTGCAGAGGGAAGAACACACTGGACAGTTTGGTAAACCGCTGTCTTCCTGTGGGGAGTTTCCATTGCAAGAGTCCTCTCTTTTAAGTCAAATTTATTTTATGCTAGCATTTATTTAGGACGACTCCCTGCTATATTTCTTGTGGACAGATTCATTTGGGTTATTCGAGAGATTTCACATAAAGAGATGCATTTGAAAGTGAGATGCAAAAACACAAGGTCGCAATCGGTCCTCTTTTGAAGGCTAAATGCAAAACACGAGGGATTACATTTTACTGGCAACTGCTTCGTGCATCAAACCTTCAAATCATTACCAGCATTAACAGTTTCTGAACACCAAAGTGAGCTCTTTGGTCGTGTAGCTGGAACAAAAGAGAAACAGAGCTGGTAAACGGTTTATTTCGCCCTCGCATTCACCAGGAGCCTGGAAAAGCTGAATGGTGTTGTTCATTCCTGAGTTTATTTGCACCACAAAGTGCAATCAAAATCTCAACAGCCTCTGCTAATATCGCCGCAGTGTTCCGCTTCAACTGGGGACCAGCATGCGAGGCCGAGTTAAATGCAGTGCAGCTCACTTCATGAGCTAACCGCAGCCTTTAGATATGGATTAAATGCTATTTCCATGGATGTGGTGTTTCTGTGTAAAAAGTTTGTTGGGGTGTGTGCGTGTCTGTTTATGTATGAGCATTGTGAGTCTGTTTATTTTGTTTCCTTTTAGTTCAAAACTCACCTGTTACTCGTTAAAGTGCTTCCACCACCATCTCTTTGTGTCCTCCTCTCCTGCACTTGCACTGGCGACTAAGCCTGTTAACATTTGGTAATTGCCACGCGCTTTAATTTGAGTGATCTCATTCCTTAGGCGTTCCGGAACTGTTTAGTTTCCTCCAATGACCACATCACTTGCATGTTTACCACTGCCACACACACACATACACGCAGAGGTATCCCACCTCTGATGCAGAGCAACGCCAGAATCATCAAGTTCAAGCTCCTTTAGTTACAATGAAGGAATCAAAGCCCAAAGCAGCTAAACGTGATTCATAAATGACATAACACTGAGCTGGTCATGTTGGGGTCCAAGAAAAGCAGTAATTTACTTTTCAGCTCATAACTGATCAGCTGAACAGGAAAGCCTGGGTGTGGAGCCTGAAAATATTGATCATTTTTTATCTCTAAGTCAGACTCTAACTCACACATGTGGGTTACAACCTCATGCTCAGAAGCAGTTTCCCTCTGCCGAGGCTAGTCTCGCTCTATAACTCCTCGATCAGTGCTGAAGTATGAGACGCACAGGGACTTCCTTTAGGTTTATTGATATAATTAAACAGTATATGGTTAGAAATATTGAAAGAAACTTTGCTAATAAAAGTGCCTTTTAATTATAAACCTCAGAGGGGCTTAATGAGCCTTAATTTGACTGTTTTCCAAAGAAGCCGGTAGTTGTGAAGTGTGGCAAGGGCAGGAAGGATGTAGAGTGATTGCTTCTGTAATTACTGTCACAGTCTGTAACTTGGCTCTTATACTTAATTAGCTCCCTCTCATTTGGGTGTTGTTTAGTTATTGCATGTCTATAACTGCTCGTCTCGTATGGTCGGCCTTTCAGAAACAGTTAAACTATAGAAACTCCTTGGAAAAGTCTGAAAGCAGCTGCTGTCAATGTAAACTTTAAAGACAGAAAAAATGGTTTATCACACGAAACTAGTTTTATCCACAGCCGCTCATTAGCAGTGGTGATGGGAAATGAGGACGTGGACTGTGGGTCTGGTGTGGAAAACAGACCTGTTATAATTCTTTATTTAAACTGTTGCTAATTAGGCATTATAAAGCATCATCCACTTATTATGGACAGAATCAGACTGTAACGGAAAATGTGCTGGTTCACTGTTTAATCAAGCAGCTGTACTTGTGTGATCATAGTAACGTATTCATGTTTTAAAGCTAAAGTCAGGCTCTAAGGTAGTTCTTTGGCTCAACTGGTCCACTGAATTTTGTAACCGCTTTTTCTCCGGGGATAAAACGCATTAACTTCACTTAAGTTTATATCTAGCAGAATCATCCTGTCAAACTTTTTCTTTGTGACTGCAATTTTTAAAAAAGTTTTGCACATGTGCCCATAAAGAAAAACTACATTTGTGATTTGAATGTGTTCACAGTTCCATTCAAAGTCATTTCCCTGTGTAGCTCTGCAGGGTTTCACTGGTCCTGCAATCTGCCAAATTGAGTATTGCCACCATGAACATCAGAGTGAACCTCAGCTGGCATTATGGCACACAACTCTGTGATTGATGAAAAAAAAAAGACATTACTGTGACTGGTCACACGCCTGACCCCGACACGCCACCTTCAGGCGGATTTTTTCAGCTGTTCCACCAAAAAGTGCCTCTTGGTCTCTGGTTCAGAGCCAGAACCTGAACTCAGATCACCAGAGATAATCATGACAATGAGGTGCTGGGTTGGATTGACACAGAAGCTCAAGTCCACAGTTAAACTGCAAGTATGCTTCAAGATGTCCACAGGTGCAGAAACACGCTGCCTTGAAAAGGGCAATGGCCAAATTTAGAGCAGCTTCTTATTTTTACAAGCCACATGACTACATCCTCTTATCTGAACTTGTAAAATAGGTGGGGAGTTTGATAGCAGTCTTTCTATTATTACTTTATGTATGACTGTTTTTTTTTCATGAGCTAAATCACAGATGCTATGAACCTGCCAAATGCTGTCCTGTTATGTTAACCTGTTGGGAATGTAAAAACTCCACCGAGTGTTGCTCTGCTGAATGTCAAAGTGAAAACCTTTTAGAACAAACAGTCTTTCTTTTGTTTTGCATGTCAGAACTGACATTATGGTGGGTATCTGCATCGGAGAGCCTGGGGATCAGTTAATGGCAGCATGACAATGTCCATTACACCAAACTACCCATGATTAATTACTTCCGTGGAACTGCACTGCTCATGGGAAGGATTTTCCACCACTGAGAAGATCCCTTGGCAAGGAGAAAGGGGGGGGGGTGTCTTGGATGGGGAACAAAGCTGTGGAGCTGTCATGGACGGTGGGGTTGGAGGGGACTGTGGTTGGGGGTAGAGATGGTGGGTTGTGGGGTCCTCTGCCCCTCTTTCTTCCTCCTTTTTTCCCCCCCTCTCACAAAATTAACCAACAACCATTGGGCAGCTTCCCAAGCCACTGGCTGACAACAACATGGGCAAGAAGAAACCCCAGTTAAACAGAAGAGGGGAGAAGAGGAAGAGAGTCATTCAGTGGCCACCACTGTGGGAATGTTGTAAACTGTGTTTTCCTGAGGCCTTGGGAATCCCACACCAGAGCTGGAACCTGCGGGCATGGAAAATGGGGCCTGCATCCCCAGAGAGATGAGATTTCAGGAAGGGAACAACATCTCTTGTTGTGGGGAGATGGCAGTGATGCACTTTCTGCAGACTGGCAGAACAGAGATCTAAATAATATAGTAGTGTAGACAAAGGATTTATTTAGGGAGGTATAGAGAAAACAAAAAGCCCACAAGGGACCAACATTCCAATAAATTGGCAGCTTTACTATTCAATTCAGTAGTAAGCATTGCTAAACCATCCATTTTTCTGTGAAAATGTCACGGGAGCTTTAGGTTACCCCAAAGACTGAGCTTCATGTTGTCCCTGCATATGTACCGATACCCTGAGATCCTACCACATGGAAGAACTCTATTAAAATCTAATTTAACACCTTTATTGTTATTACTCATGGTAAGTACGTGTTGGTTAATTCAATAAGCTTTGGTCAAAAGATAATGAAACAGTGTGAAAGAGTCAGCTCAAGGGAAGCGCAATTCAGTTCTGCAGTAGGTTTATCCATGGACCAAATATCAAACACACTTACTCAGAAGTTAGTGTTGCTCTGTTACAGAACCACATAGAAGAACGGAACCATCATGTTTGCAACATGCTAGATACGTCATACAACAGCGTGTAGGGCAAAATACTCGTGCCTGCTCCAAAGGCCACACTTGGCAGCTCAAAAGTTTGATGGGGTAGTTCTACTGCCTCTTTTATCTGCTACCAAAAACGCAGCTTTGTTCTGTTCAGCTGACGATCCCCAAACATAACAACTAAGCTGCAAGCATTATACAGTATTGGTTGCAGTTGATTTGTGAGTTTAAGTCATGTCAGACTGCACGAAAAAGCTTTGGCGATTACAGATATAGTCTGTATGTCACTCACTGTAGTGTGGATGACTGTTTTGAAGGTTTGGCCTGGGGAAGTCTCAGCTAAGCACGTACCCTGATTAGTTATGCTACAGTCACACAAAGCAAAACAGTGGTTGGTGATGAGAACAAGATTATTGCGATTGAGTACAATGAACAATGAATCTCTTGATCTTTGAAATGGTTGCTTTGAAGACAGGGAC